AGTTGACGGGTCCTTGTAGTGTACGATAAACAGGACCCTTTAAAGTGAATCACTACACGAACGAGTCGATCATTTCAAAGTTCTCATGAAATTATAAGGTCAATTTTTAAGTTTTTACGTATAAAAGGGCCTTTATACGCAGATTATAAACTTACAGAGTTGGATCTCCGCATAGTATATGTGTGGACCTACTGACCAGAATGGCTTATTAAAATTAATCGGCTGAATAGGCATAGTATCCAATCAAATAGCTCGACTCATTCATTAGCTGAACTAATTCTCCCTTCGTTATTTCTACAAGGTGATTCAAAACGATCATCTACAAAAAATATATTTGAGAGTAGATAAATCTGTAAAACCCGTGTGCTATATCAGCCTATTTGATTCTAGAAAACACATATGACACAACTAAACATGCTTTACATCAAGGGGGTACGGATGGTATGCCATTGGCCCTTTTTATTACCGTCCTAGGAGATATTTCCCGACGAATTAGGAAATTATGAAACACCTTGTTTATTGGGTTTATAAGTATAAGTATACGTATAAGTTTTTAAAAAACTTATAACGAAAATTCTCTAATAACGCCCCTCATACCTATTTATTACAGGTCGTGTAGACCATTGTTGCCTGATTTATAGCAAAAACATTGACTTTTGCACGTTGATGATGATGATGATGATGATGCGCCTTTTATAATAGATCTCATATCTTAGAAGCGTATCAGTTCAAAAAATACTAGAAGACCTTACATATTTTGCCATGCACTGCGCCTATTCATTTGGCAATTCAGTTGTAAATTTTATCTTGAAAAAAACAAATCTTCCAAATTTGTTGAATTTTCTTGCAGAAATCGCCTACCCCCCCCCCCCTCCATCCATTTTGTATGATCACAAGGCGTGATTTAAGCTGCTGATATTCTTCTTTAAACGAGTCGGATTTTCAAAATCTATAAGTTGGACTCCCTTTATAGAAGCTTTGAACTGAATTTGCACTGCTTAATGCTGAAATTTTATTGTTTATCCATACATTTTAAGAAAAAATGTATAAAAAAAGATGTTAAAGCCAAATGTTGCCCTAAAAATTCAGAAAATGTAAAAAATTTCGAATTTTCTATGTACAGGCCTTGTTGCCCCTTTAAGAAGCTTAATATGTAAATTATCTAATCAAACACTTTGTCCACCATTTTGAAACACTAATCAATCCAATCTGTGCTAGCGATTCATAGGGCGAGCCAGTGGGATATTTCCAGGGTTCCAGGGTTCCAGGGAAATTGACTTGATTTTCCAAGTGCTGGAAATGTCAGGTAATTTTAAAATAAGGTCAAAAGGGCCAAAGATGACCGGGAATTTAAATGTCAGGGAAATATCAGGGAAATTTGTATCAGTGTTGAAAAAATAATGTTCCAGAGATTAATGTTTCCAAACTGTTTTGAAACAAACTAACGTCTTGTTTTCAACCTACACCTTGCTCCTTTCTGTCGTATTTAATAAAACAAAAATAGTATATCACGGAGGGATACGAACCACTCACCTGGGACTTGGTTATTCACTAGCGCCATAGGCGTTCTACTATTCTGGATACAACTGACGAGTCGTATTTAAGTGGAGACAGAAGTGAGGATCATTTTAAATTGGCGCTCGGTATAAATATATAATACTTTTGTTCTTTCATATCGATAGCTCGTTGGCCTCGTGGTTAGCGTGCCTGGCTTCCATTGTCTAGGTTAGTTGATCGAGACCCGTTCATGTCGAACTTTTTGATTTGCTTGTTGTCAAGATATAATAAGTAGGGCAAAATCCAGAAAAAGTAGATCAAAAATACTCCAATGGAGTATAAAAATGTCACCAGGATTCCGGAATGAGACGAATGTTAACTCGTGAAATCTCGGTAGATAAAGTAGGTCAGAAAATCCGGATTAATCCGAACAAGGTTCGGGAATTTCCGTCATAAGAAGTAGGTCAAAAATACTCCAATGGAGTATAAAATTGTCACCAGGATTCCGAAATACGACGAATCGAATCGGCAAACTTCGGTACAATAATGAAGTGCATAAAAATCGTGAAACAGGTGTCAGGGGCTTCCCCTCATCTTTCCATAAATGGTTCTAAAAGCCTTATATGGATCTATCACATGACATTCAAAATGACGTTCCTATATGGTTCTATGGGCCTTATATGGATCTTTCGAACACGTGACCAAATCAAAATCAAAATCAAAATTTTACCTTGACCATTGGATGGGATTTCATAGAAAATATCAAAGAAAACATATTCTCGTGATCCTTAAATCACTTAAATTCGATCATTTTATCTTCACCCCTTGATGGAATTTTATGAAAGAAGTTATGAAAACACATCATCATGTAAGGGTTTTCACCTAAATTAGCTCGTTTTATCTTGACCCTTCAATTGAATTTCATTGAAAAATGTTTCATGAAAAATATCATCATGATATGATTTGTATTTAAATAAGACCGTTTCATTTAAATACTTGCTGGATAATATTTAATAAAAAAATGCACTTTAAAAATATTTCAGGATTTGCCTTAATTTATCATTGTAATGTAAGTATTAGATTGACTCTCAAATAGGGTTCTATTTTAACTTTTTTATTGAAATTAATACTAGGCAGGACTCACTCTCTAAATAGCTAATAAAAATTCAACCCTTGGATGTGATTTCGTTGAAAAAAAAATATGACAAGTCCAGAATCAAATGATTTGTCCAGAACCTCTTAAGATCCTGTTTTCTGTACTTGGTTCACGATCTACATTATCTTTTGACGATGTATCCACTCCTGCTCCATACTGATTGACATTGTGTGTCTCCCTGTGGGTTTTCAAGTTGTCTTTTCTGCTTTTCCTACTACATATTTCACATTCATAATTGGTCCCTTCGTGTATTTTCTTGTGACGTGTAAGATCATGACTGTACGTAAATGATTTCGGACACGAATCACACTGATATGATGGCTTTTGATGAGCGTGTTCAGTCCTTCTATGTCTTGATAAATGTGTTAAATGGCGATATTCCTTGGTGCACTGCTTACATTTGTAAGTTGTATGTGCAGCAGGCATCGTGAACCTGTAAACAGTAAAAGTTTAATTTACAATAACATAAGTAGATTGTAATGTATAATGTATGTAAATACTTTATCCTGACAAAATAATAGTACATGTATATGCGTTGATATTTCTATGTATTATACTTTAACATCGGATTTGCCACCATACTTACCACTTATTCTAAAACGAATGATATCCCTTCTCTGTCTGTTGACTATGAATTTTGTTTCACCAGTCTCCCTTTATATTACAGTATATATATCCAAATGTTATTTGTAATATTATTCTTCCAAAATTCTTAGATCCTATATTGTCAAACTCCAACTGTAAAAGAACACTTTACTTTTGTTCCGAGATATTTATATTGAAGGACCAGTCCAAATAGTTTGAAAGGTTAAACAGGTTAAACTATTTCATTTGACTTGATACCTCAAAAATAATTCATATTTACAATACTGACCGTGTGTACTGGACGAGTCCACTTTTCCTGAAACGAGCAAATAAAATATGTCTTGAATATTAAAGTGTGAATTAATGTGCTGCTGTCACTGACTGCACTTGACAATATCAAAAAATGCTATGACAAATCTTAATACATAAAGACTCTAACAAAAGATTATTTTAGCAGGTCTGGGCATAATTTATAGGAGAATAATTTAAATAGAAATAGAGTATGCCCAGACAAGGCTGATCTCCTGATCATAACATCCTGTTGCACATGCGTAGAAAAGCTTAACCTCTTTAAACTAAAATCAATAAAGTACTTACCAGAGCAATGGGCTTTCCAGAGGTTTGATGTATATCCTATATCTAATTCCTACTCGAGTATATGAATACCAATGATATGTTTCATTAGTAATAATCATATACAAATTAAATTTCTGTCATGAATTCTAGTGAAATCATGACTTGAACTTCGGAGTGTTATTCATTCTATGGTTACTACAGTGCTTTTCATAAACTATTGCATATGTACATGTATACGTATGAAGGTTGCCAAGAAATCGATAATAGGTTAAATATAAACCAAACACACTTAAATTTGGAGTGAAATGACCTAATCTTTATTGGTTTATTGATCTAAGCATGGTCAAGGTGGATTGTTCAGTCTGAGTTTAATACATGTACTCTTATCGGAGTAAATGTCACAGTGCGTGCGCATATTATTGTTTTGATTCTAAAGTTGGCAAGTTGGGACAATCAGCTGACTGATGGGTTGTATAGATCTTTCTAACGACTTGTCTGGACTAACATTCTTCTTTATCAATATATGGAGATAATACTATGCAAAATTTGTTCAATCAACTGGCTGATGTCGTAAATAAAAATTATAATTTTTAGGATTGGGGTCATTAACTACATAAGGGTTAGGGTTATTCCCCTTGACTCGACATTTACTAGGGTTGTCTCATCTTCCTGCTCAAACAAGACTGCATGATGTCATCGATATGGCTACTTTCACGTTTCCTGCTATGATGTCATCCACTTGCCCAGGCACAGTTAAAATGGCTGAACTTCCTCTATGATATCATTAACCTGTTCAGACGACCGAATAAAAGATGGCTAACTTCCGTTTTAAAACCTGCCCAGGCCGATTAAAAGATGCCTCACTTCCGCTATGATGTCACCCTCTTGTCCAGACAGATTCAAAATGGCTGACTTCCTGTCAGTGTTGCCTCACTTCCGCTATGATGTCACACTCTTGCCCAGACAGATTCAAAATGGCTGACTTCCTGTCAGAAAGCTTCAAAATGGCTGACTTCCGGTTTTAGGTGACCAGCCGTGACCAGCCTGAGCTCATGGGACCAAAATCTCTACTACTAACAAGATGCCAGTGCGTACAGTTTTCGTGATTTTTGCCTGTGTTATTTCAATCATTGAAACATACACCGTGAACATTGCAATAAATCTGTCTAATCAGCAGCATAACGACATGAGTTACATTAAGTTTCCACGCAAAGAAAGATTGGACAGACCATTGAAGTCTTTCAAAGTCCTCACAAACGCAAGGTGTGCAGCGACCTGTAACGCCACTCCTGAAACATGCAAATCCTACAACCTTAGGAAACTAGTTGGCGACAAAACCTTTCGGGCTATATGTGAGTTGAATGGGCCGAGTGCAACTCCCCCATCACCTACGAGGACTGATGTGGATTATTATGACAGGGGTGAGTGTAAAATATTTGAATAAAATCACTATCGGACTAGGTAATATGTTTACATTACAATATCGTTGTTGAGTTGGACTTGGATGTTGACTTGACATCTCATTCAAGATCGATCTCATTAAATTGTGTAGCACGGTACCCAAAAACGATGGAATGAAGATTATGTTCTTCTGTGTTCTGTTTTCTCAATCCCGTCCTAGAAATGGAAATGGATAATATGTTTTTAAAGTGTTAATTTCCTTTCAGATGAGTGTTTCAGCAACCCATGTCTAAATGATGGAACGTGTGATGATGGATTTCATGATTACACGTGTTCTTGTGTTCCTGGTTATGAGGGCTTGAGGTGTGACATTGGTAAGAACAATAAGCATGTTAGCATTTGCAAAGGTTTACAAGATTATGACTCATGATCATACAAAGCATATTCAGACATAAACGAGTGTACGAGTAATCCATGTCTAAATGTTCCTGGTTATGAGGGCCTGAGGTGTGATGTCGGTAAGAACAATGACGCAGTGTTTACGACTTACAAGGTCACGACTCACGATCATAAAACCATACACTCTAAAAACGAGCGTTTCAGTGATAACGTGTTTTTTCGTTATTCTAATGACGTTTTGCGTTTTGCCGTTAAAATCACGTTGATTATCAGCATTTAACATTTTAATTTTAACACCACCCATTTTCTCATGTGTTTTCAAAAGTGTTTAACATGTTTCTAAGTTAAGTTAAAATGTGTTGTAAGCAACGCACCAAAACGCACTCGAAACGGCAATAACAACACCTAGTAATTACATTAGAAACGCAAACACTGTTTGGACATTGGCTCCACTTCCTGCAGCGTGTCGTGTCTATGATCATAAAAAGAAACATATAACTGCTATGCTATGAGTTTTATATTTTCTTTCAGATATAGACGAGTGTTTGAGCAATCCATGTCTAAATGGCGGAACATGTAACGATAGAGTCAATAGTTACACATGTTCTTGTGTCCCTTGATATAAGGGTCCCGAATGTGGTGGTGAGTGCATACATTTATAACATACCTATGATGATGTTAGTGCAAAGTGTACACAAGACAGCGGGCCAATATAAGTTTTGAAAAGCCCGCGCCCGCTAACTTTCTGATTGGTCAAGGCGCTGACGTCATAACCAATCAATCGAAGATAAAACTGCGCGAGCAATTTTTCTAAACTCATTTCAATCATTTTCAAACCATTTGTTTGTCAATTCTATAAGAAAATGGTACTCTCTGACCAGTCTGCATCATCATAGGTATGTTATAAATCGTTTATGTCACTATCGTGGCACATATGCCCTCGGTTCTCAGAGATCAATGTCCCTCCCAAAGTCGGGCCATATATCACTGAGACCTCGGGCATATATGCCACGATAGTGACATAACCTCTAAGTATATTATGTTATTGAGGAAAAAATATGAGAACCGGGCATGTAATGTAGGGATTCATCTTTGATGACAAGTTAGGTTTTGAGAAATGTTTCAATAAAAACATATCCTTTCTTCAGATGTAACACCCAAAGTCAGTTATAAGGAGCAATAAGGTGTTCCATGCAAAATTTTAAAGTATATATAAAGAATTTCGCAATGGTTATCATTGATTATATCAAGATACATTCATAGTGTACACAGCACATCCGATTATATTGAATTTTTCCTATATTTCCGATCGCTATGATGCTACTAATCTCCCAAAACAATACATACGTTGCTGTTACTGACGTTATGTTACTGACGCCAGTCAAAAGTTTTTGAGTTTATATAGTTCCTGAGACTACCCTGCTGTGTTGATAACATGCATGTGTGTTTCATTTTATAGAAGTTTATAATATCAATCAAAAACACGCTACTACACGTGCCAGTTTGCATACTTGCATGTTTATGACAATAAAAACTACATGGAAGATACATACGTTATCCCAAAAATAAGTACCATTGTGATGATGTGACACAACACAAACAGATCCGGATCTTAATATTAACTATTAAAGTGTGAGCCACATACTAAAATTGACAAATGTTCCGTGCAGAGTGTGCAAGAGCAGTTTAACAGCGGGTTGAACAGCAGGTTATCACGTTTAGTTGTAAGTCTAAAAATAAGATGATACCTACTTTTAGTGTGTGTTACACTTTCTTTATAACACACATACAAGTTATATGATATGAACTTTACGTATTGATGCAAGACCCTTTGATTACAGGGTTATTTATTATTTCCCTGTTCAAACTTATAAATGTTTTCTTTCATTAAAGTGATAGATGATACATACGTGATCGATACATACGGTACCAGCTAGGAGAAATTATGTATGAAACTTTAATAGTCTTTAAATCCTACCTCTGTTACGTAATAAGAAGTATTTTGACCGCCATTATTTGAAAATATGCCACGAGGTCGTTTCGTTGGTAGTTTGCGACTAGTTTAATGCTTCAGCAGAAACTTAAAAAATGAAATTTTCTTACCACCATTTGCTTCCCATTGCTGACTTTGGGTGCTAAACGAGTGTTGGAACAATCCATGTCAAAATGGTGTAACATGTACCGATAGTTACACGTGTACTGCTGGTAAATCTACTTTTTACTTTGTAAGATAATTTTTGCGCGCTAATTTTAATACTTTACATAGATCCACGCTTCGTTATCCAGGTATTTTAAAGAAATTAGCGAGAATATAAAACACAGACAAATTTAATCAATTTTCAAACTCATTTCACAACTTTAGGCCAATTTTATGCTTACTTTTATTGCAGGGCTAAATATTCGTGTGGTACACGTAGGTGGCAGTACATGGGGAAGACTTGAAGTATACTATAACAATACCTGGGGTTCTGTGTGTGACGATGAATTTAGTGAGATTGATGCTAAGGTTGCTTGTAAACATCTAGGTACAGGAGACTACAGTAATATGTTCGCCTTTAAAATTTTAACTGCATACCAGGTTGTATGTTTTGATTTATAATGTTAGGAAGGGTCACTTGTATATGCCGTTGATTTGATTATCTGAGCATGGGGATAACAATGTGTTATTGATTATCTGAGCATTGTCTTGAAGACCCTCCTAGGAGCTCCAAAGCTACTAGGAGCGATAACAATGTGTTATTGATTATCTGAGCATTAACCCTCCTAGGAGCTCAAAAGCTACTAGGAGCGATAACAATTTGTAATAATTGATTATCTGAGCATTGTCTTGAAGAACCCTCCTAGGAGCTCCAAAGCTACTAGGAGCGATAACAATTTGTAATAATTGATTATCTGGGCATTGTCCTGAAGAACCCTCCTAGGAACTCCAAAGCTACTAGGAGCGATAACAATGTGTTATTGATTATCTGAGCATTGTCTTGAAGAACCCTCCTAGGAGCTCCAAAGCTACTAGGAGCGATATCAATTTGTAATAATTGATTATCTGAGCATTGACCTGAAAAACTTGAGTCATATTGATACTAAAGCTGCAATAATCCGATGTTTCTTTTCACGTTAGATCATGGTTTTGGGCTATATGGGGTCTGTTTTTCTTGACTGGTACGCACTTAAAGTTTGCTTTTTACTTGCTAAGTTCCATTACAACTTTTGGTCCTTTCCCTTTGGCACTTGTGCTTATATATTTACAGAGAATCATTAAACGACGAGAACGTAGACATAGAACGAATGAATAACTTTTTAAATGGAAACTTTTCTTCTACAAATTATTGCCTAATCTCGACTCAAAAGAAATATTTCAAGCAAAATTTAAAATGACGCTTTTAATAATTTTCCACCTTTTTATCTCTCAATTACGAAAACCTGGAGCAAAGTTCACAATGATAAACCCTATGATAAACGCCTTCAATAGCAAATGAAACCATTTGGAACAATAAATGGTTAAAACTAAATTAAAAAAAACAGTAAATTACATTAATTGGAAAACCCGAGGTGTAAAAACAAATTAAAAACCTTATAACAGAAAATGGAGAACTACTAGGTTACGAAGATGTCATTCAGAAGTACAATATCACAACGCCTTTCGTAACATATTATGGCATAATTCATGCAATTCCGAGAAATTGGAAAACGATTTTGCGAAATGTTAAGGAAAGTATTAAAATTCTAGGAGCAAATGACATTCAAGTCAAAAGTTCTATGATAAATATAAAACACACCACCACAAAACAAATATACTGGTATATCATAAAATACCTTTTTAAAGAACCAACAGGTAAACGATATTTCAACGAAAAATACAACCTCTCCGAACAGGAATGGAAACCAACTTTTAGATTACCCTTTGAAGTAGCCCGTGAGCCAAAGATGCAAAGCTTTCAATATAAACTCCTATTAAACCTCACGCCATGCAATCTATTTCTGTTTAATAAAAACATTCTGCATCAAACTTATGCGATAAATGTAACCTTGGCCAAATTGACGATACTCTTCATTTTTACATAGATTGGCCAACAGTAGTGAACTTCTGGAATGACATGTCAATTCTTTTCAATAACATTCATTTAAACAATAGGGAAGTACTACTATACGGCATCACAAATAATCCAGAAAATGACAACAATTCTGTACTAAACTATTGCCTACTCTACGCAAAAAATTACATTTACTTCTCTAAAGTGGGTAATTCTATTATCAACATTAACGGGTTCAAAGATATAATAATAAATAAAATAAAAAACGAACTAAGGAAATCAACAGAAAATCAGACTAGGCCACTCTTTATTACAAAATGGAATTCTCTTCTTAACAAATTAGAGATGCCATTTTAACAAAAAACTGTATTGTACCTACTTGTATTTTATTACCGTATTGTATTTTTATATTTCTATGTACCTGTATGCAATGTTCATGCCGTACAAACATGCCCCAATTATTGTATTTTTGTAGCCCTTTCGACTTCTCAGAGCAACCAAAATTGTGTTTATGTGTGTGAATTGTGATGTATTGTAAATAAAAAATAAAAAATAATGATAATAAATATATTCATATATATAAAAAAAGACCTGAAAAACTAAACTTTTCTGATGTTTAAGTCCTTACTTTTAGGTATGAGCTATGAGGGGGCAGCTTTCAACCCATCACCTGGTGGTGGTACAGGAGATATATGGCTAGACGATATTGGATGTGTAGGAACAGAGACCTCTTTGTTTGAATGTACACACCGAGGTTGGGGGGTTCATAATTGCGACCACGGTGAAGATGTTGGTATAGCTTGCAATACTGTATGATCCGGTGTACATCAAACATGTTTGAGAGAACAGTGTGTTCAAAATCTAATTATCTCAAGCAACTCTAGATCTGCCAAATAGGGAAACTGCATTTGGCACTATGTTTCTGTGTTGTTTTGATGATTTTTGTACTGAGAGCATCATTTTATTGAGCCGAATGTTTCGATAGACTGGAAAACTGGAAAGAATTGGAAAATGTTGACTTTTAGCCGTCGTTCTATGGATATATGTTAAGATGAACTAATGTTTCATAGATCTAGGAATACCAGTGCTGATTCGTTCGAAACTATATTCCCATCTCACCCTTTTGTAAAAAGTCTTTGAATAATCAAATTCAAGTTTCAAGCGTAATTCAACATATGGTTCTAGTTTCATATATATGTAAAGGGATATGTCAGAAATATGTTTATTTCAAACAAGTGCGTGATAGAGGGGTTGCCATTTTAGTAAAGGGTGTAAATACGTTTTTGTGCTTGATACAGGGTATATTTAATGGAAAATGTTAAATTATGATGTTGAATTATTGGTGTCTATCATAGATTAAAGAACTGCCATCTATATATGAATATAAAGTAGTTGAAATAATTTAATATCTAAAGCTATGTAATCTGATGGTATAAAAATCACTTACAGGTAATTATACTTATTGATAAATTGTCTTCATTCAGAATAATTTATCTTTGTGTGCATAAAAACGATTTGATTTCTAAATTGAATCTGCAAGTAGATTTGAGTATTCAGGGGTTACATTTAAGTGTATGGATTACGTAAGAAATAAAATAATTTCATAACAGGTAAGAGATGAAATGCGGAGATGTGCAATCGTTACACAAAAACAAATGACTACCCACATGGGGTAGCAGGGGGTCAAAACGAAAAAAATTAGCTTTTCATGTAGTAGTAGCTTTTCATGTTACAACATAGAATAAGTTGATTCAAGAAGTAAATATATTAGAAAGCAGTTTTATGTGTTTTTTGTTCATATTACTTTGTAAAATCAATAAATCTTAACTGAAAGAATTTATCGCACTGTATTTCAATTTTCTTTTCCTATCGAAATTATATAAAACGTGCTCCCCTGAATCAATATAGATGGTCCACAGGCGTAACAACCCCAAGACTTCACTATAATGGACGAATAAAGAAGTATAAAAATGCCCATCTGAATTTTGTTATATTTATTCTCCTTGGAAAGAGAGAAAATGGCCTTGAACCTAGATTGCACGCGCGATCTGAAGTAAGCCTACGTGCAATGTATTTCTGATATACACGAATTATCTAATTGTACATCCCGTATTGCACCAATCAATCGAAATATTGTAAATCAAGCATATTTCTAAATTGAGTAAAAGGAAGTGTTTTAAACAAAAAATTATAATAATAATATCAATATCTATATAATTTGCGCAAGCCACGCGAACTTTCAAAGGACCTTATACACCCTCCATTGGGATCTCCCCATGGGAAAAAAATAATTCATCTGATTTTTCAAAATGAGTATTCTGCTTCAATTGTTACATTTATATGCACACTAGTATCTTGTTGACCTATATTCAGCACTGTATTGATGTATAGGCCACTTATTAGGATCATAATTCAATCATGAAGTGTAGAGGCATAGATTCCAAACCAGGAAGTATTTTTGTGTCTGTCAAAATCCATTTACATCCTACGCATCCCTGCATCTTATCCAAACATGTTACTACATAATGAAATATACATGTAATAGTATAATCTTTGGTTTTACAAACTTGTATGATATTTGATAAGTGTCAAAGTTGTTTTTGGAGCATTTTTCTATAGCCATTTTGTAGGGAAAAAATGATGAAAAATGTACAATCTTTTAATTTTAAGTATGACCTGAATCGATTGCAAACTTCATATTTGCACATTTGATGAGATAAACGATTTGTGTCGTATTGTGAAATTATTAAGTTTGCAATCGATTCAGGTCATAGTCCAACAACATTAGACCTAGCCCGGGCCTCGTTTCTTATCTGACATGTGTTATGGCCCGGCTAGGTCTAACCTCCATGACCATTTTGCCTTTGATGCGTTAATTTAATCGTTCAGCAGGTTTCGACAAGCGGAACTAATTGAACCCTGAAAACATGGCAATATTACACAAAGAATGTGATTCAAGCATGCATACATACCTTATAAACACATACACCCCGTCCCGTATCCCCCTTAGACCCTATTGATGCATAATTACGAAAATATTGGAGACAGGTTCGGAATATGACGTAAATGTCGGTCAGTTTCGGTAACATCGAAATTGCAAATCGTTTCAGGAATTAACCGTCATCACGGTGTGAAAGAAATGATGGTCCCCCAGGGATTATGGTCCCCTTTCTTAACGGCCCTTACTGGCCCTGATTGCGTATAAGATAATGAGGGAAAGAGTTGTATTGAGGTCACCATATAAATCAATGGAGAGTAGGACCATAATTTGATAGGACCTCCTACCCTTTTACAACGGCACTGCATTAACGAACAGTTGGTTTGCAATTAATAACTATTTTGCGTGTATATACGCGCTATATAAATTAATCAAAGATACCTGTTATCCTCAAAATTGATCTTTTTATCCCGAGTAATCGCGATAATAATTATCAATCTATTTGACAATCTATTTGAGTGAACGTAACCAGCTCTACATTCATGTAGTCTAATGTGCCTATGTAGACGTCATCGTAGGCTCATGAATATAGAGTTCAATTGATCGAAACCGAAACAACACGTTCACTGAAGTGTGATTTATTAAGAACAACAAACGATTATTTGTATTTTTATATTCTAATTCATTTCCTTATGCTATGATGAAGTTTATTCAATGGGAGTCGCAATTATTTTTATATACCGTACAATAAACATTTGAAGCAAAATATCAGTATGTATTTGTCATGCATTTTTATTGCATATTTGTTTTCAGAATAAATGAAAAAATGATATAATCAAAGTCCATCATGTCATATGTTCCATGATGGACTTGGATATATTGTAGCATCAAATATTCGCGTGGTACACGTAGGTGGCAGTACATGGGGAAGACTTGAAGTATGGGTTTGTAGAAAAAAACGGGTACCGGGTAGTAAATCCTCCATGCCCGGTCAAACATGGTACCCGGTACCCGGTCGAAAAAACCGGGAACCCAAAAAACGAAAAATACGAATATCATTAGAAAACGTGTAAGATTTGTTTTGAATTTACAAAAATGTATGTAACTTCCTGCAAAATTGAGCTAGAAGCTTCAAATAAAAAGCATTTTAAGGCTCTTTTCTTCTTCTATCATTATAGTCATCATAGTCATCATATTTTTATTGGTTATGGGGGGGGTCATATTTTATTGGTTATGTGGGGGGGGTTAAATCTGTAAATAGCTATCGTTGCTTTAGCAGAGAGGTGACGTGTGTTAGTTTACATGATGACACGTGTAGGAATTTTAATTATTAATCATAATTCAAATTATCCATATTTGCGACGAAACGTCCACGGTTCCAAGTTAAATTGATACGTCTTACAATGTCATAGGCGTAGCCAGGAGGGGGTGGGATGGTGCGATTGCACCCCCCCCCCACATAACCAATAAAAACATGACCCTGATGATAGAGGAAGAAAAGAGCCTTAAAATCCTATTATTTGAAGCTTCTAGCTCAATTGTGAAGGAAGATACATACATTTTTGTAAATTCAAAACAGATCTTACACGTTTTCTAATGATATACGAGGGTTGATCATAAAGTTCTCATAATATATCTCTTATTTCTTTATTTTTCAATATATTCTAATGAAATTTTCACAGAATGTGCAGCATAGAATGTCTTATTTAGTCAGCAAAAAATATTTAGTTTAACAGAAATATTAAGTAAGAAATGGTTGCCATAGTAACGGGAAATCGAGGCACCCGGGGCAAATAAAAATAATTGAGAGAATGAGCTTAATTAACCATGTTTACATACATAATAAACTATCATGAATTACCAAACATGTTAAAATGTTAAGTTGAATATGTTGTTAAGTGCTTTAACTATTAAATAAATTGATTGTGTAAATTGTGTGATGTCATAAGGGATGCGTTCATGCTTCATTAGATGTGATACCAGAGTCTGAGACTCAAAGCTAATGATCAGAAATGACTAAGTAAGAGAATGCAATAGATGCAGAGATCTTCAGAAAAATAAAATTCATACTGATAAAAAGTTATGTTAAGTTTGTAAGATCCTTTGGTCAGAGTAAACTTGATCTAAAACAAATATATTGCAGCTAAGATATCAACAAAATTACACCATGTGTGTAGTCTGTACATGTTAAAATGAACTAAAAAAAGAAAAAAATGAACTATCAATTTTCCTCGGGATATTTGACAAAACAGGCATGGGGTCTAACAGTCACTTCTAATGAAGCATAACAATCATCCATAATGAGATCACACAATTCACATGACCATTAAAATAGTTCACAACAGTCAAGACCACATATTATTTGACAATGTAATGTGTTTGATAGCTTATATGACAACTTATTATAGATTTTAACATGGTTAATGGGGGCTATTCTAGCTAGTTTTTTTATCTGCCCCAGGTGCCTTGATTTCGAGTTACTATGGCAACCATTTCTTAGTTAATGTTTCTGTTATTCTAAATATATTTTGCTGGATTGATAAAACATTCCATGCTGCACACTCTGTGAAAATTTCATAGGAAAATATTGCAAAATAAAGAAATTAGAGAGATATTATGAGAACTTTATGATCAACCCTCGTATGTTATATATTCGTATTTTTCGTTTTTTAGGGTACCCGTTTTTTCAGTAGTTTAACTAGACTCTGCACGCAGGGTAACATTTGTAAAGGAATATGTCAGAAATATGTTATAGACATGTCTATGTACCATAGGTTTTGGGCCGATATAAAGATGGAAGAGAATATGTATAAATAAACACAGATCAATTACCATGCCATTATAAAAAAATTATTTCTATCGACCTTTGCCTATGCTATATACGAAATACTGAGGCTATCGGAAGTGGTTATGACCACATGGATATAAAACCCCAGTATCCCAAATCGAAGATCTAAAGTACATTGTAATTATATCAGATTCATCCTTAAATAACTTTTGGATGTTGCGTGTCTGTATGGCTAAAAGGTACACGATGTCAATGTATATATGTTTTATACATTGTAAGCACCACTTCCCCCCATCGTGAGATATCACAGCCTTCTCTCAGATTCCTTTCTAGAACCATTCTTGTGCATTGCAGAGATGGTCTGAGTCAGAGTATCAGAATGACTGCCCCCTAACCTCAGTCTACCTTAATACAGCTGTTGCCATTTATATAAGTCTCCAAATTCAAATTACCATCGATCAGCACCTTTCAGAAAAGA